AATTAATAAATTAACTTATATTAAATATAAATAAATTAATAAGGGCAGTAATGTAATTAAGTAATTTTTATAATTTTTATTTTATTTTAATTAGTCATAATTATCCCTTTTTTTCCTGCACATTCGTTTCCACTCTCTTTTCTCCCCTTGTGATAATTGTGTGATTGTGTAATCATAACCTATCGAAACCATGATCAATCAAGTGTAACAATAACATATCGAAACCATGAGTAATCATTGTGATAAATGTATGATTGTCTAACCCTAACCGATCGAAACCATGATCAAATTGAGTGCGCAAGTGATGTTATAATAGTGATATCACATGATTATCACACCCATATCACACCAAACCAAATCATTTAGTGGATTTCGCCCGTAATCGTTGTGATAAATGTGTGATTCTCTAATCCTAACCTATCGAAACCATGAGTACTCGTTGTGATAAATGTGTGGTTGTCTAACCATAACCGATCGAAACCATAATCAAATCGAGTGCGCTGTTATGATAGTGATATCACATGATTATCACACCAAATCGGTAGTCGATTTTTTAAGTTAACCCTAGCTGAGCGGAATCATTGTGATAATTGTGTGATAATCACAATTCACATGATTATCCACCCATATCACACCAAATCGTGTTGATATAAGCGATGATGTGATAATTGTGTGATAAAACACCAAAATCACACCAAATTGTGTTGATATAAACGATAATGTGATAATTGTGTGATAATCACATGATTATCACATTCATATCACATGATTAACCGTTTATTAGATAATGATAATCATGATCGTGTAATCGTGTTAAAAGATTTTATGATATCATTTCCATTATTACCCTTTTAATTTTAATATTTTTTGAATCTTTTTAAATTTCAATTTTAAAAATCTTTTAATTTTATTTTTTATCATAATATGAGGTTATTGGTTTGTTCTCGCATTCTCGTAAATCACAGGGGTTCTCGTTTGAACCCTTCCCTATATATATTAGGTATTTTCTCTCCTCTCTCTCTCTTCGTCCCCGTCTTCCGGCCACCGGTCTCCGGTGATACCACAGTGTGATACTTAAGCACATATAAGATGCATTGTGATACCACTGTGTTACATATCTGATCGACTGCACAAACGACCACAGTGTGATACACAATCACATATAAGATGCATTGTGATACCACTGTGGTATCACCGGAAGACGGTGGTCGAAGGACGGTGGCCAGAGGCCGGAGGACAGAGAGAGAAGAGAGGAGATAGAAAGAGGAGAGAAAATACCTAAAATGCCCTTGCATTAAAATTTTAATTAAAAATTACAAAAATTACAAATTTCCTAATTTATCTATTGATTTGTGGTTGAGATTGAACCTCACGGTTACCACAAACTAATCAGTTCTTATTTGATTAAGCCCATATATATATATATATATATATATATATATATAGGGGTGTAATCAAATGAGAACTGATTAGTTTGTGGTAACCGTGAGATCCAATCTCAACCACAAATCAATGGATAAATTAGAAAATTAATAATTATGGTAGTTTGAGTTAAAATGATAATTAAAGGATTTTAGGTATTTTTAAAAAACTCCTCTCTCCTCTCATCTCTCTCCTCTCTCCTCTCTCATCTCTCATCTCTCCGACCTCCCATCTCCGGCCTCCGGTAAACAAAAATCCGGCAGATACCAAGTAATCACAAAGATACACAATGTGATACCCATTGTGATATACAATGGTATTCAAATGGTATCACAGTATATCACAATGGGTATCACAGTATATCACAATAGGTATCACATTGTGTATCTTTGTGATTACTTGGTACCTGTCGGATTTTTGTTCACCGGAGGTCGGAGATGGGAGGTCGGAGAGATGAGAGATAAGAGAGGAGAGAGAAGAGAGGAGTTTTTTAAAAATACCTAAAATGCCCTCTAGTTATAATTTTAACTTAAACTACCATAATTATTAATTTCCCGATTTATCCGTTGATTTGTGGTTGAGATTGGATCTCACAATTACCACAAACTAATCAGTTCTCTCTTGAATGGGCCCCTATATATATATATATATGGAGAGAGAGAGAGAGAGAGAGAGAGAGAGTTTAGTTCAAATGTTAACTTAAATTATTGTGTTAACTTTATAAACTTCTTAGACCAATCACAATTCATCTTAGTATTAGGTTATTCACTATCTAAGAATTTAATGTTAAGGGTATATGAGTAATTTTTTGTGTAACTCCTACGTAATTAATTATGAGTTACAAAATCCATGAAATCTTATGATTTTTGCATTTTTAATATTGATATTATGATTTTTTTTTTCATTTTTTAATATTGATCTTTCATTTTTAATATTTATAAATTTGTGATTGGTGGAGGAGATACGCAAATAAAATGTTTGTTATCATTCAAGCAATTATGGATAAAGGTATTAGAAAACAACACGACAACGTTGAGAAGATTAAAAATGTTTATAGTGACAATCGGAGTTCGAGATCGGAAAGTGAAGTAAATAATCAAAGTGAATGTCTTGGTAATTATAAACACAAATTAACATATACGACACAAATTGACATGTATACACCCATATGAACATAAATTGACATATATGAACATTTGTGGCAATTATGAACACAAATTAAACATATATGAACACTTGTGGCAATTAAAGTTGTAATCGACTCAGCCGAAAAGGTTTGGGCCAAGAGCATCATGTTCTTATACATAGATAGATATCTATTGTAAACCTATTTCTAACTACTCTACAACTCATGTCTTATTTTTGTTTTTAAGAGAGCTATATAGGTAGTGTCTTTTTATGGAAATATATTATTTATATGACTTGATTCCCATTATATAAAAAAGTGTTGACAAGTTTAAAATCAAAAGTACGCATTTAAATATTTTCCGTAAATATCATTATGTTTTATTGAGAAACACTTTTTTAACATATTCTCATCATTTGATGCAACATCTCATAAAACTATTGAAAATAATTCCTCTACTAATAAACCACAAATTTCAACTTCAAAATCATAGTAGTAATCAAGAATAAAATTCTCAACTTGTATTATATTCGCCAATTAAAATACTTTAAAATTAGCCACAGTCATGACAATATTATCACTCCGGGTCTCTCTTCCTTGTGAACCCCTCCTAGGCATGGGGACAGGATGGGGCGGAAACGCAATCCTCAATCTTCGTCCCCATCCTTGTCGGAAAATATGATCACATTCTCATACCCTTTTGTAACGGGAAATCAAGGATTTTTTTTTGCATATATTAAATATTTTAAGTCAAATATGTTAAACACCATACTCGGTCCAAAATGATACATGTTTAAATCTCACATATTTCCACAATTTTACTTTTACATAATATTAAATATGTTAGAAAATTAGGATTACAGAAACAAGGTAAATGGTAATCGGAGTCTGGATTGCTTGAGAATCGTGTAAGTTCACTTTCCGTATTGATATTTCGACCCTATACCTGGGTATCACGAAATTCAATCTAGGATAATCCTCAAGTACACTTTCGAATTTAGGCATAAAAACAAAAACCAAAATTACTGGAGAATATTTTGAATGCTCAGTTTTTTCCGCAACCCCAAAACTGGTATATATCTTGTATATATACCAGTTCCATTCGAACCGTTGCAATAGTTGAGAACCGTTGCAACGGTTAATAGCAGTTATTAGGCGTATTTATATATTTATATATATATATATATATATATGTGTGTGTGTGTACATATTATAAAGGTGGCAAGAAGACTGAAAGGTTAGAAGATGGCATGACTGCATTGAAAGCAAGGAAGGGTTCAGACGGATCCTAATAAGAGAGATTATAATTACAATCGCTACTAAATCTTTGCAAACTGTTGACGATGATGAGCTACACTTGTTCAATAATAATACTACCCTCTAACTACCATTCTTCATCGCCTTAAACGCATTTCATCGTCGATCCGTCGTAGATGAATCTGCACGATCTTCTGACCCGCAATCTCGCGATTGCGATCATCATCTAATTTAACCTGTAGCATGCAAAAATCATCTCCTAAATATATTGCTTTCAAGATTTAATGTGCATATGGAAGATAGGTTTACCTAGTCGGAGAAGACACTCATGAGATCGTTTTGAGAAATCCGATGCGTGATCGGGATTCCTCCTGCTTTAGAAGTCTCCAAAAATTCGATGCTTGGCTCCTGTTTTACTCTCCTTCCACTGCTATCCTCGTGATTCACGTTTCTTATCGGGGGTTCAGCTTCATACACAGCAAAACGGCTTGGAATTGAAGTCCCTTTTCCGACAAATCCTAGATTCCTCAGAGGTCCCTGATCTAGCACTTGGCCAGATCCACGAAATGAAATTTGTTTCTCACCCGAGCTTTTACTGGAAAGATTGGTGACGGAACTTTGAACCTGACAGCCTGTTCTATTCTCGGAATCTGATGGACAGCCTGTCGTTGTCGTATCTCTTTCAGATCTTTGACCAATACCATTTGACAAACGATCAGATTGAGGTAAAACAAGGCTATAGTCAATTACAGAGCTTGTATTAAAGCTAGCTGCCTGATTAGCCGAACCACCACTATTTCCTACTTGAAAACCGGAGGATTGAGTCGGGACCACAAGCCGGGAGGGCTGAACGGTAATTGATTGTTTCTGTAGCTGCTGATTTTGCAACATACCTATTAACACGTTATGACCATTCTGACCTCCCAATCCACCATAACTACCAACCATGTTGTTAGGATGCCATGCGCCTAATCCTGAATGGACATCCTCTATAACGGGTTGCGAAATTTGTTTCGTTATATTTGATGGGAGAGGATGACCATAAGACATAACATGATCCACAGGCATGCATTTAGATGCTTGCAATAGAGGTTGATGGTCAAGTACCGGCAAACCGACATTAGCAATCGGCCGACCTAAAAGCTCTGCATGAAGTGCCGCCAGTGTTTGAGGAGGGATTTGGCCGGAGGCCGCCAATGCTTGAATCTCGAATCTTCCATAGGGACCTAGTTTTGGAGTTTGTTCTATAGACCCACAAAATGAATTAGGACCTCCTCCTTGTTGTTGAGCCACACCACTTAATCTCTTCAAGTATAATCTGAATTTCTGCACAGTTGCATCACAAGTAGTCACTCAACTTACAAACAGCAGAAATTTATACACACGTGATTATATAAAACATGTAAGATGATGGTTTGCTTCCGATTGAATGATGCATCCATGGGTTTAGGGTTTGTAAAAAGGCTAACTTTTGAGCATTTGGCGGGATGTTTTGACTCCAACTATTGAAATTATGGGGTCAAGAAAGAAGAAAATGTAAGAAGATATAATGCACAAATCAGAAAGAAGCTAAGGGTCTGTTTGTTAGCAGCTTAATGAGCTTAATGGGACACAGCTTATTCCGTCAGCTATACATGATTGTTTGGTAGTGGCTTAATGATACAAGAAAATGACTTATTCAGTGAGTTCTAGGGGGGGAGCTTTATGTAGAAAGCCAAGTTTTTCCAAACATGCCCCTCCCAATTAGACGTTCCTTTCATCTATAAAAAATCCATCCCAAACAAAAACCTTATCGATCTATAAAGACAGATTAATCCACACAGACACTTTATATCCATACAGGACTCGATGGAAAACCAACCAAACAACCCCCTAAGCGTGTTTAAGCTATATGCACGGGATGGGAGACAAACACACCTGCAAATGACTTGCAACATTTTCTCTGGTCAAACCTGGAACATTCATTAATTCAAGAATTCTTTTTGGCACCGCTTCTGAAAAGAAAATAACAGAATGGTAAGCAACAGAAAGACACAAGAACGAAAATGTACAATCTATAATTTGTTTCAAGCATAGCAGAATAAACGCATTGCTACTTTTATATGTAAAACCAAACCAAACCAAACCAAACCAACCCACTATATCCCACTTGAAATTAGGGTCTAGGAGAGGTAGGACGTACGCAGGCCTTACCTCAACCACTAGGATTAAGAGTCTGTTTCTGTGAAGACCCCCGGCTTGTGCAGGAAGCAAATAAGCAGGCAATAAGATAGGTAATATAACAGGTAATCGGGAAATGTAGCGGTAGAATAACGATTCAAGGAATGTAAAGAGCTACTTTAATCTATATATATATATATATATATATAATTAACGTGGGATGGACCTAAAAGAGTACATAACTAATGCTAAAGTATCAAAAAGGGAAGGAAAAACATACTATCAATTCCGAGTTGGTTCACAGCACTAACAAATTGCTGATGCAGCTCCACGGACCAAACAACACGTGGCTTTTTTGATGCACCTGGGTCATCGGTTTCAAGTTCACAATCATCTTCTTCTTTAATATTTCTCCGTTTTTTATGAGACGTCAACATCCCATCTGCTCCATCATTAACAGAAGAAGCATAGTCAGTATCATCACCCCGTTTGTGGCGGTCTTTGTCATCCACGCTCCCCGAATGTTCATGTTCTTTATTTTCGTTCCATTTTTTCCTTATAACATGCTGCCATATATTCTTCAACTGTTCTTCACGTATAGGCTTGATCAAGTAATCACAAGCCCCATGTCTAATCCCTCTTAGGACAAGGTTTGTTCTTCCATCCGCTGACATCACTGCAAATTATAAACCGTGTATAATTCACAGGTAGTCATCAAAAAACAGTATGCAAAGCAAAGATTACAGAAATAGCGAGGCCATTTACCAACACAAATTGGGTAAGCACTAACCGATTATGATTGTAGTCTGAGTAATAGGTACATTTGGGTAAGGGCAACTAAAAATGGTTGTTTACCAAGTGTCTAAGTAACCACTGACCGAGTCAGAAAGCAACCCCTTCCTTACTGAGTCAGCATATTTGTGGGTCAAAGTATGTTGGTAAACAGCATCCAGTCATACAGGTAAGCACCTCTTACCCAGTAAGAGACAGTCAACAGGTAGTAAAATAAAAAGGAAAACAACTCACTTATGACAGGAAGGTCCATTTCCAAGCCAACGAGTTCGAGGAGTTTAAAGCCATCCATATCAGGCATATGTACATCACTTAGTACCACATCGAAGCATCCTTTCCTCTCCCTTAGCAAATTCAAAGCAGCAGTTGCCTGGGAGCAAGTTGTAACTGCAAAACTCGAGCATATCAGTAAGGCTTAGAGCTAAAGTAACATAACTTGAGATGGTTTACTCCAATATTCTTGAAGGCGATGCTGGAGAAGTCCTATGGGGTTTAAAGATATCGACGTCTTATGGAATAAAACAAAATTATTATATCAGCATATGTACCAAGGTAGTGTATATGGATCACTTATCATCAACATATAAATGCCAGATGCTTTCTTATTTTGTAGGTGCATTTGTACATATACAGAAAGGTAAATATGTAAATATCATGGTTCAAAATAACTCATTACGGCATCAAGGCTTGGTTTCGCCGCCACGTTAACCTCTAATGCTCCACTCTAAGGCTTGGATTCTGTTGTAACGCATTATGGCGCATTACGACACACTATTTTGTAAGATATGTTTTCTTTTACTTTCTTTTAAACATATTAACTTGCAGTATAAATCGGTAAACCGGAGAGTCAAACTCGAATTCTTTGAAGATTGAATAAAGTAGTGAGTAGAGATTCAAAAGATATAATCCCGATTTTCCACTATTGATATCATTTTCTTATAAGTACGATATATTTCATAAAAATAGCTTCTTATTCCTTTTTAGTTTTATAGCTTTATATCTATATGCATATGCCGCCTTAGGGCACGCCTTGAAAAACACCATGGTCTCTCCGTAACTCGTAAGGCTTGAGGCTTGACCTCACCGCCACGCCATGCGTCACGTCATTTAGAACCTTGGTAAATATGTACGTATATGTATATGTATATTTTAGAGAAGAATCCTAGAAAATACATCTGGTTATATATGACTTTTAGGTGTATACGTTAGCAGCATTATCATTAAATACCAATGGTATTTCAATAATCATCACCATTGACAATAGTTTTTCCGGGAAATATCATTTTCCACGTCTAAGTATGGGAGTCAATCGCACCAATATCTATTGTTCATAAGATTGCACCACTGCCACCTTTTACATAATATGGTTACGTATTTATCGTAGCATACTAGCATCCAGGATTCCCTCACAAGGGTAAGCGGCCATAACTTCTTACCCTCTCTCCACCTTGCAAAAACTCCATAACAAGTTGTGCATCATATCTTTACATAGCTCACACTATAATAATTTTTACTATTTTATCTAACCACAAAAACTTTTAATGAGTAGCAGGACAGAGGGAAATCATATATAAACCGGCAAAAGGTTGCATAACTATGAAAACCAGTTTGTATGTGTTGTTTTATCTACATGCAGTGTTCATAAAGTGTTGTTTCATAGAAGCAACGTTAACGAATGCTTTGTGTGTGAAAAAAAAACACAAAATACGTTTATACATGAAACACACACTCATACTCACACACAACTTCAAAACATGTGAAACAATATAAATCATACCTTAAAATCAAAGTCATGGTTTTGATCGATTTTCATGGGTTGTTTCATCTACGAAAAAATACATGAAACTGGTTTTTACGGTTTGTAACAGTTAGCAGATTTCTATTTGATTTGTGGTCTAGCAGGACATGCCTAAAAGTCCCAGAAGCAATCAATATACAGAAAATAATCGAAATCCATCAAAATACACAAAGGATTTCTTAACCAGCTTCTAAAGCTGCGTTAAAAGATCCACATACTGAAAAGAAAATTAGTTTAGTTAGCATATTACAAACGAAATATACTCTATAAAGTTAACTTCAGAAAGCCCTTATCCTATTTCCATAAAGGTTGAACCCCGTGAAACGTCATTTAGGTTATTGGCCATCCACTAGATCTAGAGTCGTAAATGCTCATATTTAGCAAAGCATCTCAACATCAAAATCAACAAGCCTTTTATCTCAAACTAAGAAAGGATATGCCTACTGAATCCAATTCAAAGAAAGCAGGCTCTTTCTAAACCAAAAGAAAAAAAGCAGAGGAATCATCTTGGCCCTTTTGTACTCATCTAGAAAGAACATCACGAACGATCCTGGAATAATAACTTGGTTCTTATCGACTCGTTTTACCTTAAAACGAACGTCCCAACTGATTATCAACACTCAAATTTCCCAAACTACCCCAATTCCTCTCACCTAAGGCTCCTACTTGATGAAAACCTATAAAAATGGTGGTTAAATTTTCAAGATTTTAAAATCTTGGTTTCGTTTCCGAATTCAAGTTACCAAAAATCTTCTATTTCTTGGTTTCGTTTCTAAGTTCATTCCTTATTACTTTCCGGATATAATCCCTTCATCTTTATAACTCAAACATCAACAACACTTAACACAATGGAACAAAATATAAAAGTTGCAAAAGATAAAAGGTCCCAATGGCCCATGAAAAGTCCCGATAAAGATTGCAACAATTTCCATTTTGGGATTTCTCACACTGATTGCAACTTTAAAATTTCCATGGTAACCGTTCAATCAAGCTTACTTGCTTGCCCATATCGATTGAGTTTTCCCCCAAAAAGTGCTACTGTTTTGCTATTATTGAAGTCAATCTAGTATTATGCATCGTTAATCATGGTGAAATTCTGAAAAATGGACATTAAATCTTCACAGAAGGGAGCAAGAAACATTGAAATTCTACCAAATGAGAAAAATTACGTCCATAATCGAAAAATGGGAAGAAGAAGAAGAAGAAGAAACTGCTGACCATGATACAAGCATCTCCGAAGCATTTGCTCCAAAATCTTCAAGCAAGTAACATCATCATCGACGACAAGAACTCTCAACCCCGCCGGGAACTGATCTGAGACACCCGTCTCAGGCTTACAACTCAACGACCCGGACCCGAAACTGTTACCCGTCGTCATACCCCAACCCACCAAGAACAAAAATCAAAGTAAAACCGAGTTAATTTATGTGTCTGCGAAACGCAGCAGTGGCATAACATCAAAGAGGAATTAAAGAAACCCTGGAGGAGATTTGTTGGGAGCAGATCTAAGAGAGCATTTAAGAGAAATTCGGTAGTTTTGTGGGTAGAAATGGAAGCAATGATTGAGAAATATGGGAATTTATTATGGGAAATTGGATTATGGGTGTGAGCGTGTGATCGACGGGGGGAGGAATTGAATGTGGCGGAGTGGAAACAAGACTGGAATGGTGATGAATTTAAAGAAATGAAAGGATAATCATAAAGATAGGTAATACCCGGAAAAAGAAAATGACAACCCCATTAAAGCTATGTCCTTCCTCCTTACTATTAGTACCATCTCCAATCTTATACCAAAAAAAAACATTAAAAACATCAAATCTGATTAATTTATTAACCCAAAAATAAAATCAATTTCAACTCACTCGTATTTATTGATGAAAACATTAAAATAGTATTTAATATTGGATAGTTGCGGGTCCGTCCAAAATTGTCGTGTCAATTTGATACTGTATATTTACAGGTCAAAATTCAAGGCAGGTGATTTCTTTTTGATTTTAACGGTCGGTTAGAACGGATTTGGCAGGTAAAATGGGTATTTGACGGTTGATTGGAGACGCTCTTGTTGGCAGATGCATATAATGCAAAAAATGTGATGAAAAATTATAGATGACTATCTTTATTTTCATCATGAATATTTATGTGTGTTTATATATATACAATAACTCTTCAATGTTTATGTATTAGTATGATATTTATCATGAATAGTTATGTATTTTCATGTATGTCAATAAAAACTTTAGTATTCATACATTACTATGATATTTATCATCAATATATATTCTCACTATAACATTTATCATGAATATTCATATATGTTCACGTATATATAAGATCTCTTCAATATTCATACATCATTATAATATATATATATATATATATATATATATATATGTTCACGTGTACAAAATAACTCTCCAATATGATATTCATCATTAGTATACATTTTCACTATAACATTCTTCATGAATATACATATTATTCATCATGAATATTTCTATATGTTCAAGTGTATATAACAATTTTTCAATATTCATACATTAATATAATATTTATCATGAATATACATGCAATTCATCTTGACTAGTTTCATGTACATCCGGAATTTGAGCTAACTACAAGGATCAACGGTGTAATTTTTAAGTCGTATCTATGTATAATCAGTCCCGGGCAAGACCGGGCCTTGAATTTTCATAAAAATCATAACCATTCACGGACCAATAGGTGGGTCTCGGGCCCAATTGGTTGCCCTATGTCGATCCTGAACAGGGGCGGGCCCATTTTGGTCATCTCTAGTCTTGATGGGTTTTCAATTGGTCTCGATGGGTTTCCTATCCATCTCGATAAAAGCAGAAAGTGGTAGACTATGGTTTTACGCAAACACACACACACACATAATAAATCAATTGATAGGCTCTCTATGGAAAATAAATGTGATAGGTTATGGTTTTACACACATAAAGACACACCAAATCAATGAAAAAATTATCGACCAGTCTCGATGGGTTCTCAGTTGGTCTTGATGGGTGTTGAGTTTTACAGTGACAAAGAAGTGTCAGGTTACGTACTTACAAAATTGAAAAAAATGTTGAAGAAGGTGATGTCGAATTACATAATTTTGGTGTATGAGTTATTGTACACACTGGAACATACATGAATATCCATAATAAATATCGCACACATATAACATTTCACGTAAAAAAACGCTTCAAACTATACCGGGATAGATGTCATATAAAAAAAAATTGAAATTCTTGTTTTTTTATGTAATTTATTTGATTAAAATATTATTACTTTTTAAGGTTTTCAATTTAGTTTAAAAATTAAAAGGATAAAAGTTACTAATTAAAAAAATAAAATAAAAAAGATTATAATTAAACTTGACCATGATCGAAATAATTTTTTTTACCCTCGATCACCTTAATTAACTAATTTAATTAAATATATATACATATTTAACGTAACTTGTTTGATCAAATAGAAATAAAATATTGAAAATTATCCACCGATTCACAACGAAAAATTGATTTTATTTAAACCACGAGGGTGGTGTCTGATTGGTTTGAGCTGGCTCCAAATGTCAAAAATGTCAAAAATATCAGGAGGTCTCGGGTTCAAATTCAAGAAGGAATAAAAATTCTTGTGGCCACGGAGGTTCAAATGCGGTGATTCTGGACTATCTGCAAAGCAGATGGTCGTCCTGGGATTAATCGGCTCACATAACAAGTTAGATATCCAGGTTAATATAAAAAATTTGATTTTATTTGAACTTTCTACTTTTTTATATAGAGACATGTCGATATCCTCTTTGCTTTGTTTTATGTTTGGATGTGTTCTCTACTCAGCTTGATGATGCCATATGCCAAAAGCTACTTTTTGTAGCTCAAACTCATTATTTAAATAATGATGGGTTCAAATCACAACCCAGTTATTACGCATGAAACACTCTTGATTCAACATTTAAAGCAAAGAGTAAGCTACAAATTTGGTCCCTACGGGTGTTTCATTGGTCGTAACACTTTTGGTCCCTACGGTTTTATTATTGTGGTATGCAAAAATGATCGGATTTGGTTTTTCGCTTTAATGTGCGTTGGAAGAACATGTGAAGTCAGGGGTATCTTAGTCTTTTTATACCTTTATTACATTTTTTTAATAAATAAACGAATATGTAAATTACATGGACTAAAAATGTAACATGTGTGAAATTTACATATTTGTTTATTTATTAATGAAAAGATGTGATAAAGGTATAAAAAGACTAAAATACCTTTGACTTAACGGATCTTCTAACGATCGTTGGAGTCAGGGATCAAATCTGGTTGTTTTTGCATACTACAATGGCGAAGTTGTAGGGACCAAAAATGTTACAAACGGTGAACCATAGGGACCAAAATTGTAGTTTACTCTTAAAAGCAATAATATTATTTCTATGATGACATTGTAAGTGAAAAACAAAAATAAGACATAAAGCTGAATGATGATGAAGTCGCTTTTCAAACACTAAAGACTTCATGCACCCTCCTTTGCTCAATCAAGTCGTTAAGCACGACAATCTTTTGGATTTTAACCCTAAATGGATCATGATTTGATTAATGAATACCAAAATTCTATTATATCTGTTTTAGATCCGAAATCAAATCTCACTGGGTTTGAATTGATTTATCACTCGAAGATTTATATCAGTTTATCACTAATCATTTGTTCATACAAGAAATAAGAAAGCAAATTTTATACGTTTTGATCCTTTCTCATGACGATGTTACAAAAATACCCCCATCACTTCAAGTTCCCGCTTGGCAACATGGGACCCATTTCAGGTATCGACGATCAATGCCATAAATTGCATCATTATATTGTATTCGTAGTTTAAGTATTATTAATTGACGGAATACAATATAATGATAGAATACAATTTTTAAAACAATCAAACTAATACAGTAGATTATATTTTATTATATAGAATACAATTTAATGCAATATAATTATGTTGTATTCATATTTTATCAGTACATGGGTTGAGCTCCGGTGAGAGCAAGAGTTAAAATGAGAAGCGTGAGAAGGGATCTTCATCCGTGGATGCACATTAAGATGAGATATACCGAGGTGAGATGCACCGGATCAATTATTGTATCAAGCGTGATTCATAAGTGAATTTGAAATTAAAGATGATCAAAGGTCCAGATCCATTTTTACGTTTATTACTTTAACTCTCCATTAATACAATCAAACCAAATTTAATTGGTTCCATTTTATCATTTTGTTGTATTCTGTCATTATTCCACTTATAAAGGTATATTCTCTCAACTAAACATGCATATTATATTTATTTTTTCAAAATTCCATTCTAATTCTAGCCAATCAAAAGCTTGGTCATATTTTATAAGAGTTTTTAAGAGGTAAAATCTAAATATTTTATGATATAGTATATATTATGGTTTCATATATATATATAGGGAAAAGTTGAAACGAAAACACCTTCATTTTACGAGAATGCGAGAACACCTTTTTACTATAGACAGTCGCATGTGATATTATTATTCTGTCATATATGATACACATGTGATACTAAATCAGAGACGCGAACGATTTTCAATACGATTTTGTACAACAATTTTCAAGTTAATGGTTTGCATATGAATACTTGGTAATGGAATGAGGAGGTATGTGTGGAGAACTAAAATGTACCGAAAGGCCATATGCTTTTTCTTCAAGTGCTTGAAGTTAATACTAAGAGCGGAACCTTCAAGAATCTCAGAGCATCTCCAGTGGTAAAAATAATGACTTAACGAAAAGCTTGAGAATCAATTGATGAAAATATTAACCACAGGAGCAATAACTTGAACATCCAAAAGTTTCGGAGATGTCAAGGGTTTGAAGATTGAAAGAATGTTACGGAAAAAAAAATCATTGGCTAATTATCTATCGAGCTGTGAAAACTTTTAGAGGTTTTCTCTTGCTTTGAATCATGACTATATATGTTATTCTGATATTCAAATTCAATAGAGATGAAATTGGAACAAGTTGACCTCCTTATGGAGACTTAAATTGTAATATATTCCAACTTCACATTTGGAATTGCACAAAAAAGAGATTTCCAATCCTAGCAGCAAAAGGAGGGAGACGTATTTACCCTTAAATTGTCATCTATTTATATTTTTCCTCTTATAATCAATAATGCTTCATTTATTAAATACATAAAATGAAATTATTATTATTTTTAACAAAATACATTATCGAAAGCACTCGTAAAAAAGATCAAGATGAAACCAATATTGAATTGAAAAACACAAAAATTAAATACTTTTGTTTCTAGAAATCATAGATTTAAGTATATATTTGATCGCTCATATATATATATATATATATATATATATATATATATTGGGGTGAGTTATTATGCAACTCTTTACATTTGTACAACCAATACAACTTAATCTCAACGGTCCATTTAATTTGATAAATATGTGATTTCATAAATTTTTTGATTATTTCCTAATATAAAGTATTAATTATAATTAATGAACTCTAGTCATCTTCTATAAATATTAAAATCATAATAAATGAACTCTCATCATTTCCATAAATATCTCAATTATATGGGTTGTATTGGTTGTACAAATGGACATGGTTGCATTTGAAATATACCCTATATATATACTCGAAAGGGTACTCGCGTAATACAGCGAGATACATCTTGA